TATAGCTGTTTATTACTATCTGTTTACGACGCATCTAACGACCGCCACGCCACCTAGCGATGTCGTTAGCAACCGATGTTGTTTCTGCCCGCAGCCATCATGGAATACAACATGTTTGGCATCCCGTACGTCGGTGCTGACATCTGCGGGTTCTTTGGCAACGCCGACGCGCAGATGTGTCGTCGCTGGCAGCAGCTGGGGGCCTTCTATCCGTTCTCACGGAACCACAACGCAGAGAACAACGTGGTAGGTGGCGCTGCGTTCTCAACCAGAACAGAGCATATGGCTCTGAAACAGGCAGACGATTGGTGAACTATGCCTCGCTAGCACCCCCCCCCCCATAGTATTTCCACGACGACTACACTACTACACTATACTACACTCTTCTTTGATAGACTATATTACAAGTACTCTATACATGCTATATTTCCTTTAGAAAGACATGGGTTAGCGACAGAGTCATTATAATAATGTGTCAGTAAATGGTAGAAAGCTAAAAAAAGTTAGTGAATGTCAATAAAGGGTGGAATTGTCACTAAAGAGCAGAAGGGCCAATAAAGGGTAGAGCAGTCAGTAAAAGATGGAAGGCCCAGTAAAGGGTAGAAGGTTCAATAAAGGGTAGAGCAGTCAGTAAAAGATGGAAGGCCCAGTAAAGGGTAGAAGGTTCAATAAAGGGTAGAGCAGTCAGTAAAAGATGGAAGACTCAGTAAAGGGTAAGGCCCAGTAAAGGATAGAAGGTTCAGTAAAGGGTAGAGCAGTCAGTAAAAGATGGAAGACTCAGTAAAGGGTAAGGCCCAGTAAAGGGTAGAAGGTTCAGTAAAGGGTAGAGCAGTCAGTAAAAAGATGGAAGACTCAGTAAAGAGTAAAACAGTCCGTAAAGGGTGGAGAAACGGTTCACCCAGCACCCGCCTTGAAGGTAGATGCCACGGAAGGTGGGGTGACTCGTATTGCTCTGTCTCTCTCTTTCAGCCGCAGGATCCTGCGACGTGGGGAGAGGAGGTTGCTAGGGACGCTGCTCACTGGCTGCGCGTGCGCTACGACCTGCTACCCTACCTCTACACGCTCTTCCACAGAGCGCATGCGCACGGCGAGACCGTCTTTAGACCGATGTTCTTTGAGTGAGTGACGTAGCTTTGACTAAGTGGTGTACTTGTTATTCGTCATCGTCGTCATCATCATCATCGTCATCATCATCATCATCATCACTATCATTATTGTAATTATGATTATTCTCATTATTGTTATTATTATTATTATTATTGTTATTATGATGATGATGATGATGATTATTATTATTATTATTGCTGTTATTTTTAACAATAATCGTAGCTTATCCTTTACCGTTATACTGCATTCTATAACATCATGAGTGTAAAATGTTGTATCCTGAGTGAACCATGCCTATACTAACTAACGTTCTAGTAATGAATGCAGCAACCACCATGCAACCTGCATGCGGCGCTGTTAATTAACCTCACCCCCGCTACGCTGTTTCAGATGGCCGACCGATCAGGAGACGTGGGGAGTGGACGAGCAGTTCCTGTGGGGTGATTCCATCCTCATAGCCCCCGTTCTTAATCCGGTACGCACTCCATCTTCATAGCTCCCGTTCTTAATCCGGTACGCACTCCATCCTCATAGCCCCCGTTCTTAATCCGGTACGCACTCCATCTTCATAGCTCCCGTTCTTAATCCGGTATGCACTCCATCCTCATAGCCCCCGTCCTTAATCCTGTACGCACTCCATCCTCATAGCCCCCGTTCTTAATCCGGTACGCACTCCATCCTCATAGCCCCCGTTCTTAATCCGGTACGCACTCCATCCTCATAGCCCCCGTTCTTAATCCGGTACGTTGGTTATGTG